ATTAATCAAATGGTTCGATGCACGCAACCTACACGAACATATATACAAATACACACTTGAAATACACGTTCGAATTATTCATAACTTGTTTTTTTTGTTCTTGGCATGTTTTTAGTCTTCAACCTCATTGTGGAGTCTTAATCATGGCCTAGGAATGTCTAGGATGGAATGAGGATGTAAAAATGCACTTGAAAATATTTTTCAAAATTTGCTGAAAATAGGGTCCACGCTCGAGCGTGGCTTTTCTCGCTCGAGCGGACATGCAGAATGTGAAGGTTCGCTCGAGCGGACTGCAAACATAGACAAAAGTACTGGTTGCATGATTTTCACGCTCGACGGACGCTCGATCCCCACTCGAGCGTGAGACTCAGATCCTCGCTCGAGCGTGACTTCCCTCGCTCGAGCAGACTGCAAAACATATGAACTGCTGGGTATATGCAGTTTACGCTCGAGCGCGACTTACGTTGCTCGAGCGGAAGTACACTTACTCAAAGTGCTTGCTCGAGCGTGAAGTCCCCCGCTCGAGCGTGGATCAAATTTCTGGAATTTCCAGCTTTGATCTTCAAGTCCAAACTCGACTTCCAAGGCATCAAACCTCATTTTTCTGGGCCAAAACTTGAGAAAATACATGAAGACCCTTAAAACAACATAAATTAAAAATCAATTCAAGAAATCATGGCTCAATGGCTTGCCAATTGTACAAAAATTCAATTTAAAACTCAAGAATGATCCATGAACTAGACATGCATGAACTCCCTTGTGCTTACTCACTTTAAAGCATGATCAAACTTGATAAATTGATGGAAAACATGGTGAATTCCTAATTTACAACCATAATATGAACATGCATGTGAGAATTATGTGAAGTTCAACTCGATAGGCTATGATATATGCATGCATGTATGGAATTCACCTATTCAAGCTCAATCCTTCTCCTAATATGGATTTTCTTTTGATCTCATGAGTTAGCTAACTTAATTATATCATCAAAAGTTTGAATTCTCACCTAAATTTCCCAATTATGTTTCAAGTAGTCTAATTCTCGAGTGATCAAGCTAATTCTCCTTAGCTGCCTTCAATTCTCTAGCAAATCACTTGGGTTGAACTCAATTCTTTCTTCCTCTCTCTCTCTCTCACACGTTTTTCTTCCTTGAAGAGGCTCAAATGTGTAAAATGAATGCAAGGAGATGAGCTACTGGGGTTAAAAAGGCTCACTAAGTGATAGGTAACAAGACTAATCAAATGGCATAAATTTAATCTAATTTAATAGTTCCAAATCGAATTTCAATTAAATCTTCCATAAAATTCTATAAATTCCACATAGCACATATATCAAGTCAATTTCTGAATTGGATGCCGATAAGGCCTTCAATTCACAAACCGAAACTAAAACATGAACATGTCATTCTACGCTAAACAGATATAAACACTATAACGCAAAGCACACATGCAAATAAATTCAGAATTCCTCCTTAATTACGGATTAGGCATAATTAAGTATGGATTAACGTTACGCAGGGATTGGGGTTGTTACAGTCTTCTCCCCTTAAAAGAGTTTGGCTCTCCAAACTCGAATTACCTTCATTTTGGAAGAACATTGGGTCCAATGGAAACAAATCTTGATATCTCTTCATCATGTCTTCTTCTGTTTCCCAGGTTGCATAAGTTCGTCCATGATTCTGCCAATCCACCTTCACTAACGGAATTTCTTTGTTTCTTAGTCTTTTGATCCTGCTGTTCACAATTTGAATAGGCCTCTACTCGTAAGTATAATCATCCTTTAGGAGTACATGAGTTAGCTCAATCACATGTAACGGATCCCTCAGATAATTTCGAAGCATAGAGACATGAAAGACATTATGCATATGCTCTATAACCGATGGTAAGGCCACCCGATACGTTACTGGGTTGATTTTCTCCAGAACTTCATAAGGTCCAACATATCTTGGCGCCAACTTACCCTTAACACCAAACCGAGTTTACCCTTTCATATTCCCTATCTCTTCTTCGGATATCAACATAACTCTTTTGTCGGCTCTGTGCTGTTTTCAGTCTCTGTTGAATCAGGTTAACATTTTCAGTCGTTTCTTGCACGAGTTTCGGTCCCAACAACGGTCTGTCACCTACTTCGGCCCAGCAAATCGGAGATCGGCATTTCCTACCATACAAAGCTTCATAAGGAGCCATCCCAATGCTTGAATGGTAACTATTGTTATACACAAACTCAGCCAATGGCAAGTAGGTCTCTCAGTTTCCTTGGAAATCTAACACACACATTCTGAGCATATCTTCCAAGGTTTGATTAGTTCGTTCAGTTTGACCATCTATCTGTGGGTGATAGGTGCTACTCAAGCTCAGTTCTGTCCCAAAGTCTGTTGCAAGCTCTACCAAAATCTTGATGTGAACTTTGAGTCTCTGTCAGACATAATAGATACTGGTACCCCATGCAATCTCACAATTTCATTCATATAAATATTGGCCAATTTGTCGGCATTATAAATAGATTTAACAGGTAGGAAATGAGCAGACTTAGTTAAACGATCCACAATGACCCAAATAGAATCCATACCTTGGGAAGGGCGAGGCAAACCCACAATGAAATCCATGGTTATGTGCTCCCATTTCCATTCCGGTATTGGAAGCGGCTGTAACAAACCAGCGGGTCGTTGATGTTCGGCTTTGACCTGTTGGCAATGTAAACACCTAGCCACAAAATCTGCAATATACTTTTTCATTCCTAGCCACCAGAAGTTCTGTTTCAAGTTATGGTACATCTTTGTATTCTCTGGATGCATAGCAAATTTAGTATTGTGGGCTTCAGACATAACACGTTTTCTCAAATCATAACAATTAGGCACACAAAGACGATTTTGAAATCTCAGCACATTATTCTCAAACACAAACCCTGGCCTTGGTTTTGAATCAAGTTCTTCCACAACCTTTTTCAAGTATTCATCTTCAAGTTACTTCTCTTTGATCTCTTCAAGGATTGCAGGTTGAACAGAAATAGCGGCTAGTATTCCGCTCTGTTCACGTATCACCAGTTCAATCTTGTTCTTTTCCAAGTCATATAATAATTCTTTTTGGCTAGTAAGCAAACATGACAGATTCCCCATTGATTTTCAACTCAAGGCATCCGCCACAGTATTAGCTTTCCCTGGATGATACAAAATCTGCAAGTCATAATCTTTAATTACCTCCAACTATCTCCTCTGTCTCATGTTTAACTCCTTTTGGGTAAAGAAATATTTGAGGCTTTTATGATCAGTATACACTTCACATGTAGCTCCATATAGATACTGTCACCAAATTTTTAAGGCAAACACTACAACTGCCAGTTCAAGATCATGGGTTGGGTAATTCTTTTCATGTGGACGGAGTTGCCGAGAGGCATAGGCAATTACTTTCCCATTTTGCATTAACACACAGCCCGAACCTTTATAGGACGCATCACTATAGATCTGAAATCCATCAGTACCATTGAGCAGAGTCAAAATCGGTACAGTCACTAATCTGGTCTTCAATTCTTGAAAAGCCGACTCTCTTTGTTTGTTCCAATCAAACGGCACGTTTTTCTGAGTTAACTGAGTCAATGGCATGGCAAGTTTCGAAAAGTCTTTTACAAATCTTCTATAGTAACCTACAAGTCCCAGAAAACTTCTAACCTCGGTCACATTCGTCGGTTTAGGCCAGTCCACAATAGCTTCAATTTTCTGAGGGTAAACCGAAATACCATCTTTGTTGATCACATGTCCCAAAAATGCCACATTATCAAGCCAGAATTCACATTTGGACAGTTTGGCATATAGTTTCTTTTCTCTCAGAATCTGCAAGGTAATTTTCAGATGATTCTCATGTTCTTCCCCGTCTTTAGAATAAATCAAAATATCGTCAATAAACACAACAATAAATTCATCAAGGTATTGTTTGAAAACTCTGTTCATTAGATCCATAAAAGTTGTTGGTGCATTTGTTACCCCAAATGGCATGACTAAAAATTCATAGTGTCCATATCTAGTTCTGAATGCGATTTTCTCCACATCTTCTGCTTTAACTTTCAACTGGTGATACCCGAATTTAAGGTCAATCTTGGAAAACACTTGGGCTCTCTGAAGTTGATCAAACAAGTCATCTATTCGGGACAAAGGGTATTTATTCTTGATGGTTACCTTGTTTAATTCCCGGTAGTCTATACATAATCTCAAAGACCTGTCTTTCTTTTTGACAAATATGATTGGAGCACCCCAAGGTGAAGTGCTTGGGCGAATGAATTTCTTGTCTAACAGTTCTTGTAATTAGGTTTTCAATTCTTTCAGTTCTGAGGTTGACATTTTGTAAGGGGTCTTAGAAATAAGTTATGTTCCCGGCGCTACTTCTATAGTGAACTCAATCTCTGTATTAACTAAGTCTCTAGGCAAGTCATCCGGAAACACATCGGAAAATTCACAAGCAACAGGGATAGTTCCCACATTGGTCTTATCAGAGGTCTTAGTCAAAACACAACACATGTAACCCCTACATCCCTTCCTAAGCAATTTAACAGCTTTCATAGCAGAAATTAGGTATGGGGGAGGAATTATCCCATTTCCAGTAAAAATAAATTCAGGCATACCCGGAGGTCTAAACACAACAGATTTACTTGCACAGTCAATAGTAGCCTAATATTTAGTCAACCAGTCCATACTCAGAATACAATCAAAAGCATCAATGTTAAAGGGCAACAAATCAAAATACAATGTCATATCACCAACCATAATGTCGCATGCTGGATAAACGTAAGTACATAACATAGAACCCCCAGACGGTGTAGAAACAGATAACACATATGTCATAAGTTCTAGTGGTCTAGTTAATTTCCGAGAGAAAGCCTGCGATACGAAGGAATGTGTAGAACCGGAATCGATCAATACACATGCATTTTGAGAACATATAGGAAGAATACTTGACACCACAGTTTCGGTGTTTTGTACGTCACCAGGCACTAAAGCAAACACTCGACCTTACTTCAGAGATTCTTTCCCAGTATTAGCCTTAACATTTGCTTTTGATCTAGAAGCAGATCCTGCCGAACTTGCTACAGGACGGTTGACACTTTCGGACCCGATTGGACAATCCTTTATCATGTGACCCGTTTTGCCACACCAGAAACATGCACCAGATACTCGATGGCAAACCCCTTTGTGTCTCCTCCGATACTGAGCATAATTAGGCGTTGATCCACCACTTTGACTTGAGCTGTTAGACGATCCCGTATTTTGTTTCTTATTCCCAGTAAATGAACGGCCCATTTTGAAACTGTTTCCGGACCTTTTCCCCACCCAATCAGTTCGTGGAACAAAAGTTTGTTTCTTTGTTGCCAAAATGACTTCTGCCATTAGTGCCCTATCCAATACATTCACATGCGTGGGTAGGTTAATAACTCCCACCCGATCCAATATATCTAAATCTAGTCCGCCCTTAAATTTGCGGGCTTTCTTATAGTCCGTGTCGACCATGTGAGGAGCAAATCTGGCTAGCTCAGTAAATTTAGCCTCGTACTCCGCTACGGACATCCTGCCTTGTTTGAGTTCTTGAAATTCTAAAACCTTTCGGTCCCGAAAGCACTGGGGAAAGTACTTATCATAGAAAATTGTATTAAATTGAGCCAATGTTATATTTTCGTCATTGTTTTGAACCAATAACCACCACCTTCGAGCTTCATCCTGCAGCGTGTAGGTGGCCAGAAGGACTTTCTGAGTTTCAGAACAGGGAAATACCTCAAACAATTTCTCCATTTCCAACAACCATGTTTCAGCCTTTAACGGTTCAATTTCGCCAAGGAAGGTTGGCGGTTTCATCTTCATAAACTTTTGAGTCAGATTGATTATGTCACTATTGCCCGGTTCCACTGGTGCCGGCGGAGGTGGAGGAGGTAGAGGGTGTTGTCTCTGTTGTTGCATTACTACCTCAGTTAGGACTGTAAGCATTTGTTCCATTCTACTCATCCGGGACTCCGACGACCCTGCTGTATCATCACTTCTCACATTGTCCGTTTGCTATAAGTAAACAGGTCATTATAAACATAAGCAAATAGTCCTTGTCACTTTATTCAATTTCTTTGATCTCATAATACATGATCATAATTGGATTTACGCTTTCACTTTTAAACAAACACACTTAGGCATGTAGATGGAATGCCCCTACTTTTTACTAGGACATCTTAAGCTCATATGGACTTGTGTATGCAGTAAAACACGTGCTCTGATACCACTCTATCACGACCCAAACCCGTCCCTATAGGTTTAGCATCGTAATCGGCCAGTAATCCTTGGATTACCGAAGGCCTCTGAACAGATTAACATATAGCTAGGGGCCTCTGTTACGACCCAAACCTGCCCTTATAGGTTTAGTATCGTAACCGGCCAGTAATCTTTAGATTACCGAAGGCTTCTGAACAGATTAACATATAGTTAGGGGCTGCGGAAGCAAATAGACAAACTTACATAGTCCATAGAGCTGTGCAAACATATGAGGGACAGGAAATTAAAAACTTTTCATATACATATATGCATATATGCAGATATGGCGTCGAAAAGTACAGTAATCTTACATCACCCAAGCCGCATACACAAGATTTCAAGCGTGCTCAGACCAGACATAAACATTTTGAAAGTACAAAAGTCCCAAGAACACAAAACTCAACAGATCACAAAAGGGAACCTCTACGGGAGGCATGATAGCTGGCTGACACCAAAACTCGCCAAATAGCATCTCAGGCCTGGTCACGCGCTTGCTCACCTACATACATATAAATAAATAGTGAGCGGAAGCCCAGTGAACAATAACAGAGTAAAGAGTTTAATGAATGTTGTCCATAATAGTTACAGAAAATAGTATTCAATAGTTGTCAGAAATGGCTTCATAAACCTGTTCAGAAATCATAGTTCATTACAGATACAGATTCAGAATCATATTCATAATCAAAATTTGTAGTTAGTCGTACGTGGTACATTCATTAGCCCTAGCAGAGACAGTTGGCCCATAAAGGCATACAGTTGACCATAAAAGGACGGCCATAAAGGCATACAGTTGACTTATGTGCACGGAGACGGTACAGTTGGCTCATGAGACGTATAGTTGGCCCATAAATGAGACGTAAGGATTCATAACAGTTGGCTCATGAGACATACAGTTGACCCATAATTGGGACGTAACAGAACAAATAACATATATCATTTGAAGCTAAGAATGCCACGAATACATTTCAGAAACATTGGACAACCAATCATTCATATAGAAAATGTTATTTCAGAAAACAGATCATCTTATATCATTCAGAAAATACTTATAATTGAACATAGCTTTACAAATTTATTACTCATAGTTGGCTTCGGGTGCAGACAAACAGAGCAGATTAATCAAATGGTTTGAGGCACGCAACCTACACGAACATACATACAAATACACACTTGAAATACGCGTTCGAATTATTCATAACTTGTTTTTTTGTTCTTGTTGTGTTTTTAGTCTTCGACCTCATTGTGGAGTCTTAATCATGGCCTAGGAATGCCTAGGATGGAATGAGGATGCAAAAAAGCACTTGAAAATATTTTCCAAAATTTGCTGAAAACAGGGTCCACGCTCGAGCGTTGCTTTTCTCGCTCGAGCGGACATGTAGAATGTGAAGGTTCGCTCGAGCATGGCTTTTCTCACTCGAGTGGACTGCAAACATAGACAAAAGTACTAATTGCATGATTATACGCTCGACGGACGCTCGATCCCCGTTCGAGCGTGAAACTCAGATCCTCGCTCGAGCGTGACTTCCCTCGCTCGAGTGGACTGCAAAACATATGAACTACTAGGTATATATATTTCACGCTCGAGCGCGACTTACGTCGCTCGAGCAGAAGTACACGTACTCAGAGTGTTTGCTCGAGCGTGAAGTCTCCCGCTCAAGCGTGGATCAAATTTCTGAAATTTTCAACTTTGATCTTCAAGTCCAAACTCGACCTCTAAGGCATCAAATCTCATTTTTCTGGGTCAAAACTTGAGAAAATACATGAAGACCCTTAAAACAACATAAATTAAAAATCCATTCAAGAAATCATGGCTCAATGGCTTGCTAATTGTATAAAAATTCAACTTGAAACTCAAGAATGATCCATGAACTAGACATGCATGAACTACCACCCACCACCCGCCACCGTCACCTACCCCCCACCCCCCAACACCACCACCCCCCACCACTCACTACCCCCCTGCCACCACCACCCACCACCCGCCACCACTAGCCACCTGCCCCTGCCACCACCACCACCATCACCCACTACCCACCCGCCACCTACCTGCCACCACCACCCATTACCCACTACCACCACCACCCACTTGCTACCACTTACCACCCGCTACCCACCTGCGACCACCACCTACCACCCACCACCACCACCCACTCGCTACCACCTACCACCCGCCACCGTTCCTACCTACCCACCACCACCACCACCACCCGTCACCTACCCGGCATCCGCCACCCACTTGCTACCACCACCCGCCGCTACCACTACCCACTCGCTACCACCCATCACTCGCCACCGTCACCCACCCACCCACCATCACCACTCGTCACCACCCGCCATCCGCCACCCACCCACCTGCTACCACCACCCACCACTCGCCACCACCACCCACTTGCCACCCACCACCCACCACCACTACTAGGGATGGCAATTTGAAACCGGCCCGACGGTGACCCGACCCCCGACCCCGAGTTCAGCGGTTATTCACCGAAAAATATCCCCTACGGGCCGGGGACGGTATTTAAAAATTCATCCCCGATGATATCTGGGCCGGGGACGGGGATATGTGTTTCAGAACCGGCCCCGGCCCCGGCTCGCATGGTCCTCGAGCTAAAATGACCCTTTTGTCCCTGGATATATATATATGCATATGCTTGTCTTGGTTAGGGTTTCATCACAGAGACACATACTCAAAGCCTCTCACACAGTACTCACTCACGCTGCTCCTCTCTCTCTCGCCATCCCCCCCCCCCCTGCCCCCCCCACCCACTCGCTAATTAAAAAAAACGTCTTCCGTCCCCCCCCCCCCCCCACCACCACCACCTGCCACCACCACTCACCACTCACCACCCACCTGCTACCACCCGCCACCACCACCACCACCGTCACCCACCCACTCATCCACCACCACCACCACCACTCACTTGCTACTATTTTCCACCACCGTCTTCTGCCACCACCACCCGCCATCATTTTCCACCACTGTCTTCTACCACCACCACTCGTCTCCATTTACCACCCGCCACCACTTGCCATTTCTCACTTTTTTTTTATATTTTTAAATTTTTAAAAATATTTTGTCTAAACCAAACGCGTTTGTAGTTTATATTTTTTTAAAAATAAATAAAAATCAATTTATAAAATTTTTATAAATATAAACTGAAAACGTAAATGTTACCAAACATGTTCTTAAAAACTTTGGTTCAATTTATTTGCGTTGTTTATATGAAAAAAAAAAAAACATGATTGGATAAAGAGGATGCTTCAGTTCCAGCAAATTAGGCTTGGTGTTGACTTTTTCCCCTTTTATTTTTTTATTTTGCGAAAAAAAAAATTGTCATATGATTTTTTATTTTATTTAATAAAGATACGTATAAATACATAATTTTATAATATTTGTTTGGACAAAGAGGCTGGTGGAGAGAATCTGAAGGTACCCACTTCTTACACAACAACGAAAAAATCCAAAAACAGATATAAATGAGAAGATAGACCCATCTCATGTTTTTAATATAAATCTAATAATGTCTGTCTCTTCTTATGTAAGTCACACCTTCTTTTAGATTTCATCTCTCTCTCTCCCTCTCTCTCTCTCCATTTTCCTTGTAAAGATTGGTGCCAGCAGGCAGCAGATCCAATCTCCAATTTTTATGCAATGTTTTTGGCTTCAAGAAGATCTAACCCTTTTTCATGCCTTTTCAACACCACCCATTTTGTTGTTTGAGCTCTCTGTGACTCTCTGCTCTGTTCAATGGATCGTGGGCTTCTTTTAATTGCTGTTCTTTGTGCTTATCAGTTGTTCAATGAGTAAATTCTTGGTGGGTTTTTGAAGAGGAGTTTCCTAGAGGGTTTGTGTTTTTTAGGTAACTTATGCCCTCAAATTTAGTTTCGTTATTTCTTTCTTCTTTCTTCTTCTTCTTTCTCTCTTTGATGATTTGGTTGGTATTTGTTTTCAATGTTGTGTGTGTGTTTGATGATTTTAATGATTGGATCTGCACATTAGCATTAGACTTTCACTTTATTTTGTTTTTCCTTTTCTGATCATTAATAATTCTCTTTCAGATTCTGCTTTTTTTCTGATCATGTGTTTGATGCTTTCAGATTACTCTATCTCTCAAATTCCTTTTGTGATATTAAATTCTTACATCAGATCTAGCTTGGGGGCTTATTACTCAAATGTGCTGTAAGGTAAGATTCAAAATGATTGGACGTGTTTTAAAGTTCCTTTTATTCTTATGATGATAAAGAATATATTACTTTGTGGTTTAGATTACTGTGAAATCCTATCGTTTGTGGCATCTGACTCTGTTGTCACTACTTCTTTGCTATCTCGTACTCTGAAAATCAAGAATTTTCTGGTGGCTATTGTGTGAATTACCCAAATTAAACCTGAAATTTCCCAATTTTTGGAGTCATTCTTGCAGTTTTTTGGTCAGGAATGAGGATATGAATTTGTTCTTTTCTCTGAATGTGCATTGTTTGGCTTACTGAAATTGGTTTTGAATATCTCCCAAATATTTGTTGTCTTTAAGTTTCAAATTCTGATATGTTTTTGGGTGTAATTAATTGGGTTTGCTTTGGTGAATTGACATGTAGAAGATGGATATATGAATTCTCATTTGATTTCATTCGTGCAATGTGCTTGTGCTTGTAGTCATGAACTCTACCCTGTGGCAATGTACTTGGATCTTAAGACACCTTATGCTATGTTTGGTTCCCTGGAATGAAAGTGGAATGGAATGGAATGTCATTCCTTAGCCTCCTTATGGAATAACCATTCACTTACAATGGTGAATGATGATTCCATTTGCAATGTATTTTTCATCATTTTTTATTTACATTCTAACGGAATCATCATTCCATTCTAGTTTTATTTCAATAAACCAAACACTACCTTAGAGTCTTAGCTCCTTTTTAAGATTATTTATTTTTCAATTCCATGTTTGATGCAATTGAAAAGCCCTTGAAAGAGATGTCTACCATTTTCTTTGTCTGTGTGCATGTGTGTGCTGTGCTAAAGGCACAACAGTCAGTTGTGCCTCAATTTGAGGTGCATCATGGGCTTATTTTTATGATCTGAATTGTTCATTTTGTAGGGTTTGTTGAGTACTTCATGCCTACCAAAAATCATATTTAATCGGATATCATTAACTATATGATCGAATTGTATATTTTTTATGCTATTTCTTAAAAGAAAAACTTATTGTTTATATTTTTGGTTATCGATCATATAGTTATTAATATCCGATTAATATGATTTTGGTAGGCATGAAGTACTCAATAAACCCTATAAAATGAATGGTTCAAATCATAAAAATAAGCCCATAATGCACTTCAAATTGAGGCACAGCAGTGACCCCAATTCCTTCTTTGTCTGTGTGCATGTGTGAGTTAATTGTTTGTCTCATTGACTGTTTTATGTTGGGATAGAGTTGAACTTTTATAGTGTTGTTATATGTCGTTGATCACTTAAAGTTTGACTATAGCTGATTCCTCTAAAATGACGCTTTCATGATTTTTGTGGTATCTTCTCTCTCTCTCTCTCTCTCTCTCTCTCAATTTCATAAATGTGATGATCAGCAAGCCATGCCGATAGTTTACAGTATTTTTGTATCTACACTTCATATATTATCTTTGTTTGAGCACAAATTTAACTTTCATAGTTTCAATTACCATAATTTTTTTCATGCTGTCAATACTTCATCATTGTCTTGTCCAAAGAAAGCATGCCACCTTGCCTTCAGAGATTTGATAGTTAATTTAGGCTCAGATTGATTTGTTGAGAATTTTCCTCAGCCAGTTGGCCTCAAGTTCATTAGCAATATTTGATTCTTTATTCCTAAAAAGTTCCTTATTTTAAAAAAAAATTGAAGTCACCACTTAAAAGAAAGGCATGTTCAATCCATTCAGATGCTAGTGTGTGCAGAGATCATCTAATGTATTATTGGTTTTGGCGTGCATTATTCTCTCTTAGGTACTGTTGCAAGTATGCAGTGTACAAGCTTCCCTTCACGATTGTACTCCAGTAGAGATCTTAATATGGGTGCTAATGGCAGTGCATGGCCCGTATATAATCATGAGAAAACCTTAATAAGTGGGCATTCATACAATGTTTTTTTGCCAATGCTGACTAAAGACCAACTTTTAGTCCATGACAAGGAAATATTGAGGCAGACAATGCTCAAGCATGAGTCCATATTCAGAGATCAGGTATGCTCTCTCAATATTCAGTGTCTCAACTTTTAGCCGCATTTGAACATTTTTCATTGATGAAATCTTCCTTTCTGTTCTACATAAAACTTGTTCGTAGAAATTTATTTTTTAATTTTAATTTATTTGTTTCAATGGTAGGATTCATTGAATCCTTGAAGCAAACCCAAAGATGAAAGAGTAAAGCTTTTTGAAATGCTATGAGAAATAAAATGGTGTATTGAGATGTTGAAAGGCACTGCTTTTTTTGTTGGGGATAAATGAGACTTATTTTTTATGTATTTTGGTGGATCTGATAAAGTATTTTTTGTTTGGGTAAATGGGGTTTTGAGTACAGTAGATCTTTATGTTGTTGAGGAGACATGACAAACTAATTTCATTTTCTTTAGTACTTACACATTCTTAAACATGGATCATATGAAATATGTCTTGATCATCCAGGTCCGAGAACTCCACCACCTGTATAGAAGACAAAGGGAATTAATGGATGAAATTAAAAGGAGAGAACTATCTAAGCAAAACATACAATTGCAGACATCTCAGTCCATTTCTTTTTCACCTAAAGTCTCATCCAAGTCTGTTCAGAAATCGTGGCAAGTCTCCAGCTCACCCTGGGTAAACCCTGCCGCTACTAGATTATCTATTTCAAGTGCTGAAAATATCCAATCAATTTCGATCTTTTCTTTATGGGAGAGCACACAAGCAAGTCCCAATACTGCCCAAACTGAAGCCAATTTAAAAGACTGCAAGTTGTCGCATTCCAAATCTGAGAAGCCTAAAAGGAAAATGCTAGACCTTGAACTTCCAGCTGATGAGTACATTGATAGTGAAGAAGACGAGGATCGGTTAGGAGAGGAAAAGGTTTCTAAATTGCCTGAGTTGCCTTGTTATCCACCAAAGAGAATGCCAGAGGTTTCTAGGAGAACTACTGATTTGGCTGACTTGAATGAACCCATCTGGCTTGACGATGCAATGGCTTCGAATACTGAAAACAATTTTCTAGGCTCAGAAGCCTACCACAAGGGAATACCATTCCAGGATCATGAACTGTCGGGAAAGTCAAACTCAGGTTTCCAACAATTTTCCAAGGAAATTTCTGGTGAGTAAAATTTTCTTATAGTTTTATAATTGAAATTTGCTTGTCTACATGAAAATTTTCTTCTGGTTTCTTTTCTTAGAGTTCTTCATAATTGAATCATATTTGCTATTATTGTTTGATGTTTTGATATGGTCGTTATATTTTCTTTCCAGGACAAAGTATGAGCAACTTGAATCCTCAAGCTCAAGTTTTTTCTTCAGCAAAGTTACCCGTTCCATTTAAACAGTTAAAAGTTGAACTTCCAGCTGAATTCCCCGAGTTCAATCTATTAGATGAGTGTGAAAGGAAATTGCAAAATCAAAAAACAGATTCTGTTAGAGAAACCTCAAAGCGAAATCATGACCTCTGCAATGATGATTATCAACAACTGGCCAGTTCTAGCCTACCCATCTCATACCAACCCATTCCTCAGTCTGGTTTGGCAAAATCTGAGCCATGCTCAGTTTCATCTCAGAGAAAACTCACACGTAACATAAGGCAGAATCCTATAGCAGTTCAAGCCCTCCCGTGCTTTAACATTGCTGTGCCATCGAATAGGAATACTAAATCATTGAGACTCAATCATTCAAGTGGTAGGGATGTGAAATGTGCAAAGACTATGAACTTGAATATTCCTCCTAGCTGTTTGCTAGACTCGGAAGTCACTCAACAAAGCATTGCAACTGGAGATGGAGTAAAGAAGCCTGAAGATTCACGAGCAGTATTGCCCGGGCCTAGTGAAAAGCCAGATTACAATAACAAACACAAGGAGGAGAGAGGAGATTTACCTCTGGCAGATTTAGTCTTTTCGCAAGCTTTTTCAACATCTGTTTGTGATGCTGATGAGCCAATGAAGTTTACGACTAGTGACTCCCCAGGTGATGAAAAGGACTGTAAAAGTAATCAGAAAGTTGAAATACATGACATCAACTCGGGAAAACAATGTACTACAGATAATGTATCTGAAGATATTATAGTTGATAGCAAACTTTTAGGGATTGGAAATCAAATTGACTTGAACTTATTCGTAAATGAAGATGAGTCTTCACCAGAACTCTCCATTCCGAGTGTCATCACCACGGCAACGGTGGAAATAGATTTGGAAGCACCTGGTAGTCCAGAAAACAAGGAGTGCTCGCCACCCAGAGGAGAATCAGAGGAAAACCAACTTGAGACACCTATCAAGTTGTCAAAACAAGATAGGGACCAAAAAGATGAACTTATCAGGATGGCAGCCAAGGCTATAGTGTTGATTTCGACGCATGGGCCACAAAAACTGTTTCCAGAAAACACTTCTTGTAGCGATTCCTTGCATTGGTTTGCCGGGATAGTTTCTTCTTTGGCTGATGACCTTGAGAACGTGGGTAGAGTGGTTTTAAGTGGCGAGGATGGTGGTGAACATCACGAGTTTTTGTCTGATGGGAGTGATTACTTTGAAACCATGACAATTGAGCTTAATGAGACGAATTGGTGTAAGCGAAATGATCAGAAGGAGAAATGTGAAGGAGAAATGGGAAGGAGAAATGCAAGTTCAAGAGCAAGGAGGCAGGCCGGTAATTCTTTTTGCCATGGGATGGAAAAAACAGTAAGCTTGAAAAGTTGGGGAAAGAAAAATAGGCGGCGAAGGGGACCAAGAATTCCAGCTAGTAATGCTCGGGTATTGTTAAGCTAAGCAAATTAGCGAGCGATTTAGGGGAGATAGATTTTTGGTTTGGTGGACTCTGTGAAATCATTTCATGTGTGCATAAAAGGGTACAGTAAACCTATAGAAAATTTTCATAAATATTATTTTAAACATGTTTTTAGAGTTATGAGTTTGTAAAAAAGAGACAAAATGGTGATACAAAAAATGAGTTCATGGAAGAGGACAGGAAAGAGTTTTGTTGTGTTTTGTAATTCAAAAAAAGTAAATGATATATTCACATGGAATTAGTTTGGACTTGACCTTCAGGCCATGTTTGATTCACAACACTAATAGTGAAGTATTAATAATCCTATTAAATTAGTGTGGTATTAACTATCCCATCCCTACCAAACCAAACCAAACCAAACGAAGCCTTAAGTCCCATCAAATGGGGTCGGCTATATAAATCCTTCTTTTCCACGCGGCCCTATCTAAGGCCATTTCATTGGTCAAATTAAGTAGATTCATATCTCTATTTATAACGCTAGTCAACGTTAATCTAGGCTTACCTCGTCCCCTAACACTTCCATCTGCCGTTACAGCATCGCATCTCTTCACTACTGCCTTTGTTGGTCTCCGTTGAATATGACCAAACCATCTCAAACGATTCTCTCTCAACTTATCTTCTATCGGTGCTACTCCTACCCATTCCCGAATACACTCATTCCTAATCCTGTCCTGTCTAGTCTTACCACACATCCACCTTAGCATCCTCATCTCAGCCACACTCATCTTATCTACATGTTGTTTCTTAGTTGATTGGGGAAAAAAAAAAAGAGGAGTGTGACGTGCGTTTTGATTTATTCAAAGACTCTATTCACAATAAGAAGGTTGGCTCTCAAATTCCTAAATCCTCACTGATATTTGAATTCGACTTTATTGGTGAGCTGAAGTTGTTGAAAATGGCCACCCATCCTCTACACCGTTTTCGCATCATTTTGTCTCTGACATTTTGTTGCTGACGACCAAAACACTTTTTCACTGCTGATGACCAAAACACTTTTTCGCTAAGAACATTCACATCGACCTCGCTGATCACTCCATGTAGTTAAAAATGGGTGCCAAACGTAAATCGATTCGAATTATTGTTTTGTATTATGTTGAAATTCTAGTTGTCAAATTTGCAATGGCTTATAAATACCGAATGTGAAATATTGTATTGTGGATGGACATATGGCTTTAATTTTGAAAATCTCAAATTTTAGTTGTGAAAACATCAAATACCATAGGTGGAATTTTGGTGGAGTGATTATGTAGCTATGTGAAATACACAACATGTGTGTCTTGGTAAAATATTTTAGATTGTTGATCTTCACATTGTATTAAGTATTATATTTGGCTTTTGATTATATTTTGTTTTGTACATATTCCCATTGTGTGTTAATCATCGTTTTTTTGAATATTCACATGTACATTATGATTTCATCACATGTTCACATAATGGAATCTGTGGACATTTTTCTCGTTATGGTAATGTGAATATCGTCATTGTTTTATTTATGATTTTTTTGAATGTTCATATTATGAAATTTGTTGACATTTTCTTCCTCATGATATTTTGAACATTCATATTATGAGTTGCTATTGTGAACATTCATATTATGAATGTGGATGGTATTTTGAACATGGAGTATGTTAGCATTCACTACAAGAAAATCAGGCAAATAACACGGAGGTTTTTTGCGACGGGGTGACTGCCGTCGCAAAAAATGGTTTTTTGCAACGGGGTGTGTTTGCTGTCGCCAAAGAAGTTTTTTGCGACAGGGTGTGTTTGCCGTCGATAAAAAATTGGACTTTTGCGACGGGGATGATTCCGTTGCTAAAGATTGTAAAAAGAAAATTCCAAAAACATTGGCGACGCACGGTATACCGTCGCAAAAGTGTTCTTTAGCGACGGTAAGAAGTTACCGTCGCAAATGGTGGACCATTTGTGACGGCAGAAGCCCATCGCCAAAAACGAAGGATAAAATTTTAAGGTTTTCCTCAGTTCTATCCTTCTGTCATGTCACTTTTTAAAGCACTCTTTTTTTGCCTTAACTACCGTTTGGACCTCTTCCCTCCACCACCAAGTTTCCCTAGAGCTGGGTCCCGTTCCTTTCGACTCTCCAAGATACAATTGGCCATCGAATTCCACATAGTGTTAGCATCACCTTCTAAGTCCCAAGTACCTTCTTTATCCATTCGATTCTTAAATATTTCTAGTTTATCCCCTTTTAAGTCCCACCATCTCGTCCTACGACGCCCACCATCCTTCCTAGCTTGGTATTGCCCTCTAAAACATAAATCTAGTACCAAAATCCTATGTTGAGAGGTCAGGCTCTCTCCAGGAATTACCTTACAATCATTGCATTTTAAGTGGTCCACTTTTCTCATTAAGAAATAATCTATTTGGCTCTTAACTAATCCACTCTTAAAGGTTATCAAATGCTCCTCCCTCTTCTTATACATAGTATTGGCCACCACCAGGTCAGAAGCCAACGCAAAATCTAAGATTCTCTCTCCAGCCTCATTTCTGTCACCAAAACCGTATCCACCATGCACCCTTTCATAACCTACTTTATCTATGCCCACATGGCCATTAAAATCTCCACCTATAACCAGGTTCTCTCCTACGGGTATCTCCTGTAAGATCTCATCCATTTGCTCCCAAAAATCCCTCTTAGTCTGATCATCTAACCCTACTTGAGGGGCGTAAGCGCTAATACTGTTCACTATATTCCCTCCAATAACTAATTTAACTAGCATAATCCTATCTCCTTTCCTAATGACCGCCACCACACTTTCCACAAGACCCTTGGCAATTATGATTCCTACCCCATTCCTGCGTCTATCCTTACCACTATAATAAAGTTTAAAACCAGTATCCTCAATTTCCCTAGCTTTCTCTCCCGTCCACTTAGTTTCTTGTATGCAAGCTATACTAACTCTCCTCCTAATCATAACATCTACCAATTCCATCGTGCTACCAGTTAAGGTTCCTATGTTCCAAGTGGCTATCCTAAACCTATAGTCTTGGACTAGCTTCTTTACCCGCGCTCGTCCAGAAAAACGCGGAAACCTTTGCCCATTTTTCACCGCACCCAGGCGTCGATGCGGCGCCCCTTGCTCACTTTTCGAAACACCCGGAGGCAGGCGCAACGCGTCACTTGAGGGGAACGACCTAGCATTTAAACGATTCAAAGTAGGATTCATTTTCATAAGGGATCCGAGCGGCTTTTTTACGTGTTGGCTGTCGGCTACCTAACACACAACCCTCCTCCTTAACCCGGGCTTGGGACCGGCGGAGTTGTTAACAACCCCGGCGGAGTTTATCCCACCCCTACCCCATTATTAAAAATCCTACAAATTTGTTGGATTAATTATCTATTGGATTAATAATCCTAAACCAAATGATCAAAACAAATATAGAATGATTGGACTCACGGATTAATAATTCTAATCTCATATTTTAATCTTTCCAATCAAACGTGCCCTCATTATATAGCATGTCTTCTATTTCATTGTCTTGTTTTTGTGGGAAATAGAAGATATATCTTAAAAAGTGAATTGGATTGGAAACAAAAGTCTATCCTCCTAAAGATCTATATGGCTATTTTTTGGCCTGATAAGTTTTCTGAATGAGTGCTATGGAATGCGTGCAATACATCAACGTATGTTGCTTTTACAAATCTAGAATTCCTTTTATTATCAATTTCAGATTATATTACTAATCAGATGGCTCATTTGATAGGAAAGAGTAGAATTTATTTTGTGTTGGGTCCATTTAAAGTTTTGATATTTGTATTATTCACGTAGCGAAATTGATAATACTATGTACCCTCGTTCTATTTTATTTTTTTTTAAATTTTTGGTTAGTATTTATAAATATTATTAGTTTACATATGGATCTCTCATTAAAGTTTATGATATTCTTTTGTTTCCACATTTCTATTTTTATTTTGCGTTAAAATTGGTTATTAATATTATTATGAGAAATTTATTGAAAAATTATTTTTCGAGTGTTTATATCCCGATAAGTCAATAAGATATTCTTATATTTTAATAAGTCCTATTATTTGGACATTTGATATACTAAATTCTAATTTTCATATTTAAGATATTTTATGGGCATTTCTACCCTTACAAATATTTTTTAAATAGTTAGCAATTTGGTGATGTAAACCTTCATATTTTACAATGTGAATATTCACATTGATAGTGTGAATATTCACATTGACGATATGAACGTTCACATTGATGGCGTAAACATTCACATCACGGAACATTTACATTATAAATGTGAATATTATTAGATGTATTTTGAGAGGGTAATTTGTAAACAAATTGTACGGGAAAGAAATAAATCTTCTCGTATACATTCCTACTAGGAGTCTCATCACTGCAAGCCAAGTGAGATGGCTGAACTTTTTACCTCGGTTATACATTCCTGCCCGAACTGATTTATCTCGGTCCCCTGCCCTTCGGACCGTGTGATCGAAAGCCGATCTAACGGATGCCACCCTGCCGAGCTATACACAGCTCGGCCCTCGCCATTGATGCTACCTCCTTTTAATAAGCTGCTACAACCACACCAAGCTAAGTTACCTCGGTCACACGCTTAAGTAATGATGTAGATGGCGCCCGGCTGAGTTATACAAAGACCGACCGAGCTATACCAAGCCCGACATCCTTTCTCATCAATACCTCGGCTAACCATCAGGCCCACTTATTTCGGCTGACATCTTTACCTCGGCTAACATTGCGGTCAGCCAAGTTACTTCGGCTCTGTGATACTTTAAGCACTACTATCAGTCTTGACTTCAAGATGACGCCCTGTAGAGCTATTGTTTAGCTCGGTCTTCTTTCTACCGATACCTCGGTCCATAGTTCGGCCCAAACCTAAAACATGAGATGTCTTCTTGGCCTAAAACCGAGCTACACCAGCCCTTATCTCGGCCCATTACGCGGTCCAACTCCCAAAGAAGACTCTTCTTAGTTCGGCCCAATTTGTTTATAAATTACTCTCTCATTCACATTGACGATATGAACGTTCACATTGATGGCATAAACATTCACATCACGAAACATTTACATTGTAAATGTGAATATTATTAGATGTATTTTGGTAACTATGTATCCATAGGACTTATTAGAACATAAGAAAATAATGTGAA